TTAGTGTGAAAGTGCTGCTCCCTGCTGGACACATTGCGTCATTGCGCCTGTACAGAGCTGAATAATCTACACTGTGTATTGTTTGGATATTGACAGAATCAGGACGGGGTTAAAATACCTTTTCTGGATAATTTTTGGTAAAGTTTTAAAAACCTAAAAAAGATCTGAAAAAGAAAAAGCAGCATGTCTGACTGAGCGTGTCTCCTCCAGGTTCTGCAGAACATGGTCCACTGTGCCGACCTGAGCAACCCAACCAAACCGCTGGAGATTTACCGGCAGTGGACGGACCGCATCATGGTGGAGTTCTTCACCCAGGGAGACCGAGAGCGAGACAAGGGCATGGAGATCAGTCCCATGTGTGACAAACACAACGCCTCCATAGAGAAGACCCAGGTAATGCATGCAAATTTTTTAAAGCTATCCTTTCTATCACATAGCATTGACATCATATCCTGGGTAGTGTGTCACTACAGACTGTTCCAGGTTTCTTCATCTGTTTTTTATTTAGTTTTAGATATATTACTCCTGTCTTTTGTGACTTTATTATTCATATTATTTCTATGACTAGGTGGGGTTTATTGACTACATTGTCCACCCTCTGTGGGAGACGTGGGCGGACTTGGTGCACCCTGACGCCCAGGACATCCTGGACACGCTGGAGGACAACAGGGAGTGGTACCAGAGCATGATCCCCCGTAGCCCGTCGCCCTCAAGCCCCGAGGAGCACCATGCCGAGGTTGGGCCAGGAGGAGAAGCTGTAGGAGCTGGAGGGGCCGTCCCTTCAGGAGGAGGAGGAGGAGGTGGAGACAAGTTCCAATTCGAACTCACTCTGGAGGAAGAAGAGGAGGATGAGGAGGAGGTGGAGTCTGACCTGGAGAGCCCCCTAGAGGAGGAGTCCCAGTCGGGTGGGGAGCGGCGCCAGGACTCATCCTCCCCCTCCTTGTCCCCAGACCCCCGCAGCAGCAGGTACCGTCCCCCATCGCCTCACCCGTCTCGGACCCTGAATCTGGCTGCCATGTCGGTGCGGAGCCCCCACAGGACGCTGTCCTCCCCGGGACGGGAGGGCGCCGACAGGGACAGAGAACTAAGCCAGGAGGGCGACGGGGTGGCCTGCCTGCGTATGGGCACGTAACAACCAGCACAACCTGCCCCGCCTGAGAGACACGAGTGCTGGGTGTAGTGAGACAGAGGCAGGGCAGGCCTTTACCAATAAAGTCTGTAACATCACTACAGTCCCTTTACACTGGAGACACCCTCTCTGGAGAACAGAGGGACGTTCCCCCTCTGTTTAATTTTATATTTTGACAAGAAGAATCGTTTTAGCCTCTCTTTGGGTGCCTGATTGGCCTTTGTGTCCCGTCCTGCTTTGTTGTAGCTTCAGTTCGGAGTGTCCCAGTCAAAGACTGCTGCATTTTAACTGGGAAGAAGAGTGGAGCCAAGGCATGATGCTCTTAACAAGAACAAAAGGCAAAGGAAATGTCTTCCTCCAAAAAAAAAAAATGTTTGTGACATTCAGACATGAGCAGCGAACAAGGATCGCTGTGGTTTGACAGGGTCTTGGAAATTATTTTGCACCGTAGTTTTGATTTAGGATATGAAATTACAGAGTCTGTTTGGAATAAGTGAGTATGAATTCTTTGCTTAAGAATGGTGTGAGAGATGAACCATTTTACCAAATACAGGATGTATATGAGCAGCGAGAAAATCGATGGACGTAAACCTCAGGGTATGAAGAGAAACATAAATCTAATGTAGCACGGAAGTAGTGGGTACCCCTGACCTGGTCCCCGACCCCAAACTGTCTTTCCTGTTTGATTTACCTCCAAACCAGAGACAACTGAGACTTTGTTTAACCTGTGTGTCTCTACATTTAATTAAAACCCTTTAATAGAAAATTTGGCAACTGAAGCAATCAAATAATATATATATTGAAACCAGCTTGTAGCACCGCAGAGATTGAACACTGAAGAAGACTGTACCCCAGTCTCACCTGTTGAAAATACAAAAGACACCACCTGTATAATTAGTTTTATTTTTTTACTTGAGATGATTTGAAATGGTGTCATCGTTTTAAGTTTAGATTTTTGAACAGTTCAGTTGTCGTACATTTGCTGGTCTTTGTCTGTGTTTATGTGCTTGAAAAGCATTTTATTTTTTGTTTTTTTTTATCAGGGTGCCTCCGGTCCGCAGTAGCACTTTACCCTCTCTGCCCTTCAGCTCATCTATTCAGTCACACAAAGGGCTTCACCCACTGTAGGCCTACTGATCACACAAACACAGTACAGGACCAGAAGGCCGAGCAGGAAACTAACTAACTGGTTGGTTGATTCAGAATTTCAGATCCTAACCTAACCCTTTGGTGGTTATCTTAGATCCAGTTTGCAGAAGCTGCTCCTTCCTTGAGGCACAAGCTCAAAGTTTTTATTAAATAGTGAAAGAAACAATAGTTTGTGGCACAATAACATCTGGAAAAGAGCTTTGTGCGCACCCTTATTACCACATACAGGTGAAACCAGCTATGTCAGCTTAAAGACAAATCCACCTTCCTCTTTAAGAAAAATAGGTTAAAGGTTCCCTGAATGTTTCTTGTGACTTTATACTCATAAGCTGACAGTAGCACTGAAGCTTTAAGCAGCACTGTAGTTTATTGTGAGTCTGATTGTTTTCTACTTCTACCGGACCCGTTTTAATTTGTATTTTAAATATACTTTTATTATGTCCTGTTTTTCCCCGAATCAGCGAGGATCTTATAATTCCAAATAAATCACCATGCTGTTACTTTCCTGCCGACAGGGTGTGATGTGGAGATCAGAAGGAGCACATTTTCAGAAGTTGCTGACGGCAATGAATCGCCTGTAGTTCAAACTAAACAGATTGTGTTCCATCAGGTTATCAGTCTTATTTGGTAGATAGTGCTCGACTGGGATAACTGTGTGCCATAAGTGTTGAAAACACACAAACACCTGCCAGCCTACGATGCTGTACATTTTTACACTAGAGATTTTAACCTGATGATTGTATCGAAGTCATTGACTTTATAGTGTTAGTTTTTACGAATGATACATGTTAACAGTATTTAAAGCAGACAATTTACTAGATTTTGTGCAACTTAAGAACAGTCTGATCAGCCCTTTCCTAATCAGATAGCTGACACTTGAGAATGTGTGTAGTTTCAGGAGTTCAGGACTCTTTCTGTACCAAGTCCATGTTCAGTCTAGAGCAGTGTTTGTCGCCACCACTGAGGTAGAAAAGACCAGGAAGCAAACAAGCACTACACAAGATATGATGCACTTCCTGGTCAGCCAGTAGTAGAAGACACTATTCTAACAGTATTTCATTAACTCAGCTAGTAAGCTTTATTGATCAGCCTTACATGTGATAGGAGTGGTTGGGGCCTATTGTTAAAGGACCATTGTGCTGTTTTTAACATGCCGAGCCTCAGAGTATCAATTGATCTACAGTTCTGGAAAACTGGAAAAGTACGAATTTTCAGGCTTCACATTCACAGAGAATTTTTAGTGTTTTTTCATGACGGCAGCAATATTCTGGTTCTGTCCTTATACTCGTTCTTAGTCTATTTGTGGTCATTTTGACAGAAGAAATATTATTTGCTGTGAAAACAATCAAGTGATCATCTGAGAAATTAAGCTAAATGTAAAACAGTGCGTCAAGTTTTTTTTTTTGTATTGCAGACAATATTTAGCTTCCAGTGTCGAAATCCATCAAAATCCCACTCTGAAAATGCCATGTACACCTCAGCCGCTTCAGATATTTTGTGTCATTAGGATAAAATGTGTTGTTGACTTTACCTCTAGTGCCATTAACAGGCCAACATTTATACAGGACTTGCACACAAGCACAGTCAAACTCTGGTGGGCAATATTTTCTGACACAGCTTTTTCCTTTAGCATCTGCCCAATGTTAAACCTTGAGCTCAGCAAACAGCAGAACAGTCAATTATTTTTGTTCTACATTAAAGACTTTTATATTGCATTGTGTAACAAAGACTGTAGCTGGTGGGGATTTAAACCTTTATTCGCTTTCTAAAAACGAAACGCTGTGATGCTATAATCGTCCATTAAGCTTCCTCTTCTTTCGTAGGTGCGCTGTATTGACTTGTAGTCCCATAATTATTGGAGCTGAGAAACTGACCCAATAATTACATTAACAGTGGTTAAAAAAAAAAGCACATCTCCCCAAGTTAGTTAAAAATGTAACTAGAATTGGGATCAAAAGGAGCTCAGACAGCCAGATATTAAACTTTTTAATATCAAATGTATGGATACACTGAAGCCCACAAGCAGTGAACCACCATGAACAGAAAGTCAAGTAAAAATTAAATCACTAAGATCAGTTTTGAAGCAACAAAACGCAACTCTTCGATTGTTCAACATGGCATTCTCATCATGTGGGATTACTGCGGATTTGAGACATTTAACAGTTGATTTCAGATGTACCAAAGGTCTTCAATGTACAGTTTGTAGCTCAGTGATCTGAGGCGTAATGTCGGCGTGTTAAACACAGAACTGCGGCTCTTTACAGGAAGACATCAGTGCCATACAGTGTTAAATGTGTTGACGAGCAGCAAAGCCCGTGCTCTCGCTCAGTTATTGTGTTGCGCTGATACTGCCACCATTAATGTTAATGCGGTCTCGTTTTCTCAGCCTCTGTGTCGTGCAAACTTCTATAAAAAGATATTTATTCTTCAAAAATGTGTCTGTCGAGACAAAGTACTGTAACATAGGACATTTGATTTTATGTTCTGGAGCCTAAAAATCAAGTATACTTTACAAGTATGTATACATCTGCCACTCCAATGTTTTTGTCAAAGGAAATAACTATTTTTGTTCCTCATTTTAAGCCAAAAGAGTCTCGGGAGTTCAGGGTGTTTTAAGTGGAAAATGCCAATAAATTATATGGAAATTTATCAGACCGGCTCTGTTTGTTATTTATTTTTTCATTAAATCGACTCTAAAAATGGAATAATTTTAATCAAGAGCTTCATGTTTCAGACAGATTTATTCCATTGCGTCCCATCAAAGAAGCATGTAAGTATGTATGATTGCATATGCACACAGTTATCAGTTACAAAAACATTAGTATAGTTTTCATGGTGTTATTTGGTACATTACAGTATGTATGTTATGGTTGGTGAGTTCCTACAGGTAGCACACACACTTCAAAGTTGCTCAGCAGAAGCCTCTGTTCAGTCTGACCGGCGCTCCATTGCAGGCTGGAGGCTTCACCCCCTGAAGACACAACACACAGAGTTACACTTGCATCAAATATACAGAGACACAGAATCACTTCATTCACTGATGATGATACTGCTGACACTGCTGACTGAGACACATTAATACTGAAACATCAGGTTGAGCTGCAACAGACAAATATCCTCGTGAGAAGTTCTTCACAGTAACGACACCTCAAATATCCCGAAGCAGAGTTACAGTAACAATAAAGAGGAAAAACAATCAAGTCTTCACCTTGTAGAGTTGGCAAACCAAATGGAAGAGGGACGACATCGCCTTGTCTTCGTTCTCTTCTGTGTATTCCTGAAACAACAGTTTGTGATTTTTAATCAGTTACATGTTAGTTGTAGAGCGATTCATTAGCAGCTCTTAACAGGCAGAAATCCCAAACTACATTGCTGAGTTCCTTCAGCTTTGCCGCTTTTAATCTGCATCCCCTCCAAGGTTATTATATTTAAAACTAAACTAAAACTAAGTGTGAAAAATAATTTTAGTAAAACTAATGAACAAAAATCAACATAACTCTGGCACCTACATCTCTGCTCACTGAATTTAAAGAGAATAATAACTGAGTCCAGAGAAATATCTGTACAGTTTACAGTACAACTACAGTGTGCAAACACTTTCAATTGACCCCTCTTAAGTCCCTTGCTCTGTGCTCCAATAACAGCTGAGCAAGACTCCGTCAGCTTTCTCCTTTCCTGTACTTTAATGTGTGCGTCACTTGTCTGTGTTTAAAAGACAGCCACATTTTGAAGAGGGTTTAGAATAGAAAGTGACATATGTATTCAACATTACCTAACCAGCTAGCTAATCTACATAAACCGCTATGTAGTTATTATCTCTATTTTAGTAATCCAGAGTGCCATCAGTGTTTTACCCCGTTGAAGGTGACCCAGGGGACGTGTGTGTGTTCTGGGTTCAGAGCTCTGGTCATGACAGCGTTGGCGTGCATCAGCTGGTTTCCCAGACCTCCATTCAGACAGGAGTCAACACTGGACCAGGAGACAGAGGGAGCGTAGAGCTGGAGACACTGAGACAACAGGTAACAAAACAGTCCGTAAATCACAGCAAGAGTCTTTAACACTGCAGCACGTATCCATGTTCACTTTCTTTGATGCACTCGTATACCTCAGGTGTTTGTCTTGATACCTTTATATTTTTTTTATAATGTTTTGGTTACACTTTTTTTTTTTTAAACAGAAAATAAGCTTTAAACAGACCTAAAGATGTGTTTTTCCCCCAAATCAGCTTCTTAGTATGAGTTTAGTATCATTTATTAACTGTTTAACACTCAAAATGAATCCGGACTGTGGTTTTTCATAATACCTAAAGATATTCGTGTGTTTTTAAACTGTGGTTGTTGCTTATTCAGTCATTAATTGTACAATTGAGATATCTATCGTTCTTAATAGATGTTGTTTGTATATCTGGAGTTTGTAACAAAAATAGTTTCCCCCTGGGATTATTAAAGTATTTCTGATTCTGATAATATTTAATGCTGTAGAGAAATAAGATAACTTGAAACATGATTTCTGAGGTCGTGGGTTCACGCTAAAGCAAAAATCTATAAATGTGACTCAGATTTCCAGGTCATGAGAATCTGAGCAGGTCATGAGAATCTGAGCAGGTCATAAACTCAAAGTACATGCTGATGTCTGCATTTCTTCAAATCCCTAAAAAGATTATGAGTGAAGCAGAGAAACATGGCAACCTTTTTTTGAGGCTTTAATTGGATTTAGCTTTTGTAGGATTTGTCCAGCCATGTACATATTGTGACCACCCATAGAGTAGGCTTGTTTTACAAAACTGTAGACATTTCTACTGTTTGCTAAAAAAACAAAAAACAGCTAAAACAGCTTCACGAATGATCATTCAGTACAACAAAATTCATAAATCACTGACAAAAAACTCCCAAAACATACTATTTTGCCTTCTTTTCCAGGTCTTTGAAACAAAGTTAGCAAACTTAAACATCAAACAAATATATATACACACACATCAAACATTCATGAACTCTCTCAAAATCAATATAATATGTACAGTACAAAAGAAAATGAGACTCACACAGGAAGAGGAGGTCATAACTACACAGACAAGAGAAGAAGCTGAAGATACTCACAGGCTGTGCAGCGTTGAGGACATTAGCAGACGACTCCATGCAGTTGATGATCTGAAACGCTGAATGTCCCGTTAAATGGATGACGCAGGCCTGAGAAACAGATCAATAAATCTAAAGTTCATCGTGTTTTTGTATTAATTAAAAGATGTGACAGTACAGGTGATGAAACATGCAAACCTCAATCATGTTTCCTCTGCACTCAGGCTCTCCGTGCTGACAGGTGAAGGGAGAGTTCTCTGATGGAAGCTCCTACAAGAGAACGATGTAATGATATTTAGATATTTTATTCATTTATTTTTGTCACAACCAAAGACACCGCTAAAATGTTATAAAGATTTGTGTGAAATGTTGTTACTATTAAAAAAAGGCTATAAATTACCCTGGCCATTCAAATGAATCAATCTTATTGAACAGATAAGTAAAAGAAAACATCCAGTAAATAGACCTAAAACATTTTAACCAAGGAAGAATTTCATTAAACACATTCTTCGAATAGGCTTGGAAATTACATGGGTGAGATGTTACATTCTCAAAAGGACAAAGAAAATTATACATAGTTAATTTTACAATCCACCAGCCATTTATAGTTTCTACAAACACCCAAATTATCCTGAGATCTCCATAATAAAGGGCTTGCAGACAATTTGCTGTATACAGACATTTCTTTTATGTACATATATCCCCATATTTAACAGTCATTAGGTAAAAAAAGTCTCCCATAACATCCAATATATAATTTACAAAAATGACTGTGGCCAGCATACAGGTTGTTGTTGTTGTTATCGTCACAAAGATTTCCTCCAATAACATGAACTCTTCTCTCAGGCTCAGTGTACCTTGGCGTTCCCGTAGGGGACCAGAGTGACACTCATGATGTCCTGCAGCATCGTCCAGGTGGGGAAGAGCTGCTGGGTGATGAAGACTCTGCAGGCGGGACACAGACTCTCATAGTAGAGAGTGACCGATACTGGAGGAACAGACTGGTTCGGCCTGGTAGCGTTCACCTCCATACACTGCTTCTGAACCTACACGAGACAAACAAGAGGAACTTTAATCAGAATATTTTCAAATATAAGTTCATAAAAGACTATTATATATGAGGCCTGGATAATATGTAGCAGTAAAGGCTTCTTCTTGAGCTTCTTCACACACTTTTCTCATGAGACCAACTCTTTATTGGTTAAAACATTGGTGAAATAAAGTTGTCACAAATTAAAACACAATAATTAAAGTTACAAGTATGTCATGAATAAGAGGAGGGATCCATTTAGTCTTTGTTTCTTCCCAATCAGTCTATTCATGTAATTTAAACTAAAACAAACAGATTTAAGTTTAACATTACAGTCTTTTGTTGCAGCTTTGAACCTAAATAATCAATGAAAGCATGATTATAAAAGACGTAGCTCAATATTCAAACTTTAGACAGTTTACTTTCCAGCATTCAGTCATTTTTAAACAAATTAAGTGTTTGTGTTATTTGACCCAGAGCTGCTCCACCGGTCACATGAAGAACCAGTGGTGTTCAATTTCTGAAGCATGACTCTCATTTAAACCCGGACCAGGCAGACTTTGAACTCCACTGAACTCCAGTTTTTCCCTGTTTGGGACAACGATGATCAATAATAATACTACTATTAATATCATTGTGCTCATTATTAATATTGAATAATTACAGTTTCCTTTTGGTTAGTTACGGTTTGGTATTTAAGATATTGACATGAGAGGACTGCTATAAGAATAAAGCTCAGAAAGGCTGTAATCACTCCAAAATTAAAAGGTGGGGCCACAGTGAAGAAAATAGAAAGGAAAATTATACAAAATTCAATAAAATATTCTTTTTGGTTAACTTTTTTACTCTTTTGCGAGAGAATATACAGCACAAAACACTTCACATGTCTACCATATCAACATATTTTAACAGTGAGCGAATGCACCCACTGAGAGATAATGCAGAAACAGTTTATTAAACATAAAATACCTCACTATCCTTAGCTTTTATTGCATTTGTTTTGCTTCAACATTATTATCCAATAACAAAAATACTGTTATTATTATTGTCTTGTGGGGCCATTCGGGTTTGTTTGTATTCCCTGTTAATTATTATTGTTTAAGCATCTTCTGCTACACGATAACATGACTCCACAGACCCTGTAAATAGATTGTGGTGAGTTTATTGTACTCACCTTGCACTCTATTGCTATCTCCAGGGACCGACACCACTGGGACGGAGGGTAACGGCAGGACGGTTTGGGATGAGACATCCCGAAACTTCTCAGGTCAACACACATGAGTAAAAACACACCAAACAGTCCTGACAGCTTCATGTTTAATGTGAGTCCACAAAGAGTCAGCGAGGACAGACGACTGAAGCTGCTCCGCCTCAGAGCCGCCTATAACTAACCCCACCATCAGCTGATTAACGCCAGGTGTGATTGACTGCTGCTGCCTTCAGGGATCCTCGGATACTCCTGCTTCTGGCTCCGTGAACAGGAGATAAACAGATATAAATAATATCAGGCTGTTCACAATTGGATTAACTAAGACAGGTTTAACCGTGGGGAATAGTAGTAGTAGAAGTACACAAGCAAAAAACAGATTTATAAATGATATGAGAACTGGTAATGGTGATAAAGCCTCCATAGGGGGTATTATGGGTAGCATATTATATTATGGTGAATGGCCTCCCTCTAGTGGTCCCACATGAGCAGTGTCTACAAGCACTCATTTTCTAATTAAAAGTTAATATATCCAACCAGGACAAAAAAAAAACTGATATCTTTTCTGCCGTTTTTATTTTTAACCATGAATTGTACAGACACTTAAAGTTAAGTTAAACTTGAAACGCAAAGGCTTATGGGAACTGTAGTTATTGAATGTTAATGGGAAATTGTAACTTCATAAAGATAATGTGCTGAATGCAACACAGGCCAGGGTAATAACAGGTATATTTTTTAGCTTACATTTGTTTTTCCACATTTTTCAAGTTTCAACTGATGAGAGGACCGTTTGACCGTTTGTGAGAAAAACCGTTGAGATGCGAGGAAGAGAGGATGCGCCATCTTGGATTTTTTTTTATTCTTCAAGTGGGTTTAACGGATTTACAAGTCGGGTTTTCGTTACTTTACAAACGTCTGAAGTCGACGTGAAATCTCTTGAACCGTTTTCTTAGAAGTCCCCCTATCGCTTGTTTTTATTTTTAATATTTTCCCAGCACGCATTTTATGTCGCTACACCGAAATGTCTAACGGTTGTGTGTCGCAAAAAAATCCACCCACGATCTGCTTAGTAGCCAAGCTTATGTCGCCAAAATGTTAACTTATTTTTAGGGACGACCTCTGAAGCCCGATTACCAGCAGTTGTATTATGAACGGGAACATTAACGTTACATTTTATCGAATGCCTCAAGTTAGCCCCGACCAACGGCTCCCACCAACGGCTGAAACGAGTGTCTCCACAACGAGGCTGATGGCCGTTAGCTGCCGTTAAAATGGAGGGAACTCAAGCCTGCCTACCAACAGTATTACCCTTCAGATCACAGTGGATTCATTATGAACCTCTACCTGTGCTGTCTCACCTACACCTGTGTCCCCTCAGCTAAAGGCCGGACTGATTGCCCTGACAGGGGAACATCATGACCCTGACCTGGCTTGGTTGTAGACTTCGACTTGCATGGAAAAGGTCTAGAAGAAAGTCGTGTTAAGGTTTGTTCAGGTAACAGGTAATCACTGCGGTTTACATGGTTATACCTCTT